CATCACCAGGTTGGTCTTCAGCCTCCTCCTCCCCAGGGTGGAAAGAGCCCACCCATGATCTGCAAACTCACTTGTCCGGCTTCCCGGGTAGCAGGAGACGGAGGCGGCACTTGTTGGCGGAGTGGATCTCCTCCTCCTTTACCTTCATCATCCTCTGGAGGGCCAAGCACCAGTCCTGGGCCACCGTCATGTTCAGGTTCTGGGGGAAAAGTCATAAATCACGGAAGTGCCTCCAAAACAAGCCTGAATCATCCCCAAATTTCATCCATGGGGCTCAGGAGGATGAGGTGTTCAGCAGTCCCCGGGGAACCCCATGGATACTGCAAAGCACCCAAGCTTGGTTCTACCCAAATCATGAGTCTGACCATGCTTCGGTAACCTACGTACCTGGTAGGTGCCATGCAAGGTGCTAATGAGAAGGGTGATCTGCTCCACAACTGCTAGGTCCTTCTGCAGGTCCTGCAGCTCCTGGAAGAGCCGCGGTGGCCCCAGGTAGACTTTATCTTGGGTGGAGAAATGGAGAAACGAGGTCCATGGAGGATGCTTCACCCCACCCCACCGAAATCACCCGGATCAAGGGATGGGTGCTCACTGTGCGAAGCCTGCCCGGCCGGCACGTGCTTCTTGGCGCCGGCGTTGTGCATGACGACGTTGTTCTTGTTGTAAGCGCCGCCCTCCCACCTCCACCACCTGCACCTGCGGGAGGGCCGTGCTCCACTTCACCACGTATTTGGGACCCAGGGGCACCAGGCTGCTAATTTCCAGCTGGCCTCTGCCGAGGAAGGATGCAAAAAACGCATGTAAATAAACCAGCAGGCGCCGTGGCTTGCCCTGCAAGCCCTTGCAAAATGCACATTGCAAGCCGAGCCCCATTTGCAACCCCACGCCGTGCACCGGTGCATGCCTGCACCCCCAAACGTGGGGCACGCAACCACAGCAGACCACGCTCGGCACCTACCCTGGGTTCACCGGCCTGGAAGAGGGGAAAAACGATTAATAAAGAGGTATTACGGGGAGCTCAAGGAGGGTTTTTCCCTTTGCAGCATCGACCTCCACCAAGCCCTGACGTCCCACCAGGTTCCCGGACCCCGCACTGGCTCCAGGACCCCACAGCACCAGGGGATGGAGGCTTTGCACGGAGGCATGCCAAAAACGGGGGGGCAAAGCAACCCCAAACCAGGTGGGTTCCCCCTCCGAAACAACGTGGGGTGGTTTTAAAAGCCTTTGGGGTAGAGCTAGCAAAACCCACTCAGCCCAAAATTGAGGTGGGGACAGTCGCTACGTCGACGCTTTGCAAAGTGATTTTGGGGTCCGGGGGCTGCCGGCACGTACTTGAAGTTGATGTTGGCGCAGACCAGCATGTCGTTGAGGAGGAAAACCTTCCGTTCCTTCGACTTGATGAGCTGCCCCCGGTCACCGTACACCGTCTCCGTCAGCGTCTCGCAGAGCAGGAGCTGCCGCTGCCCCGAGCTCAGCAGCTGCGGAGGGGATGGAGCAGGGGGGGCTCAGCCTGGGGGGCTCTTGCAAACCTCCTGCCCCAAAATTTGGGTTGCTTTTCCCTTATTGCGAGGATTTTCCTCCAGCCGGGAGCACGCACGGCCCCGAGCTCTGCAGAGACGGCCGTGCAACGTCCGAGGCTGCACGATGCAAAACCCCTTCGCACCCTGTACGTCCAACCACCAAGAGAGCAGAGCCCTGAAAGACCAACGTGGCCCTTTTGCAGCTCCTTTTGGGTCTCTCTTCAGCCCCTGGCCCTAAATCCTGATCCCAGGGCTGAGCTGGCGGGTGCCCCGCTGCGGTTTTTGCCACCACGGCCGTCCCCAGCCCAGGATGTGTTGCAAGAGTTTTATTTAGGTTTTGGTTTTTTTTCCACCGACGATTGCAAAATCAGGCAGATGAGACAGCAGCTCATCCTTGCTTTTCCCCGGAGGGGAATTTCCCCGTGCCGGCCTCGAGATTTGCTTTTGCTGAACATCCTTTCAGAGAAAAACAGAGATCCTGGCTTCCCGAAACCCCCGATGCGGAGAGCAATGTGGAAGCTGCACAGCTCAACCACCACCTCCTCCACGCTACGAGGATGAGGAGGTGAAGCTGAAGGACCCACCTTGTTGAGGCTGCTGCGGTCACTGATGCTCTTGCTGAGCTGCTGGATTTCGGTGACTTGGTCGGCCAAGCGCTTTTGCTCGTTGAGCTTCTCTGCCAACGTCTCCAGCTCGGTGAGGGCCAGCTGGAGGGACAGGCGGTCCGCGTGGCCCTTGGGGGTGTTTTTCAGCATGTCCTGGGGTGGGGGAAAGGATGGGGGACAAAAGCCACCCCAGAAAAATCAGTCCCGTTGGGGATGCTACAGTTGGAAGCGCTTTCAGCGCCTCCGAAATCAAAGCTTGGAAGATGATCCTTGGGAAAGTCCCCAAAGCTGCAACCAAGCTGCCAACCCAAAAACGTGTCCCTTGCTAAATCCTTTCCCGCAGCACCCAGGCTGCAAAAAATAGGGTGCAAAGCAAGGTGGGTGCTGGTACTCCTCGCCCATACCTGCAGGAGCAGGATGAACTGGGGGAACCTCTGGATGGGCTTCACCATCAGCCCGTAGAGCGTGACCCGGTCGGCGCTGGCCATCTGTCTCTTCTACAGGGGGAAAAAAAGGCAAAAAAAGAGGAGTTTTCACCCATAACGGTGCCCGGCAGCACCATCCGCCCACGTTTGGGTCCTGCTGACCTTGAGGAAGTCGAGGAAGGCAGGTTTGGTGAGACAAGCCTTCTTGATGAGGGACATGGCAGTGGTGAAGTTGTTGACGTAGTCGCTGTAGACGTCCAGCACCATCGACTTGGAGAACTGGGGAGAGGGCAGGAGGAGAGCCCGCGATGGCGTGGGGCTCCCCCAGAAAGGGGGGTCAGCAAAGCATGGGGGTGCTCATGTATTTTGGGAGTGATGCTGAGGATGCTGGTGGTACCCCAGGTTGGGGCTGCATCGCTTAAATCCTCCAACCCCTCCCGCTATCATTGAGAGGGGTCCAGGGGGAGGTTTGGCAGCGGTCCCCCGACTTTTCCTCCTACCGAGGCCACGAAGAGGTCCCCGATCTTCTCCGCCGAGTCCCACTCGGCCACGCGGGAGGCGAGGGCGATCTGGAACATGGAGTGGCACTGCAGGATCTCCTTCAGGCGAAAAAACACCACCTGGCACTTCCTAGCGCTCAGCACCTTCGGCTCCATCTCCATCAGCGGGTTCCTGTAATCCTGGGGGAGATGCCGGCGCATCAGCATCCCCGCATCGCTGCGCCCCCAACCCCCCAGAACCCCCCAAAAAAGGGGGTCTCCCACCTGCAGGATGCGTTTCAGGGAGTCCACGTAGCTCC